ATATGCAAATTATTCTACACAAATGTGGGGACCTTGAATACATGGCAACTCTATCTCTGTTCATATTTCTTGTTATCAAGCTCTTGGAATCTCTGTTATCTACCAAGTCATGTTAGCTATTTTACTGTCTCCCACAAATTCCTTTAGTAATCTATTAGGGATACAAACCCCACTTTTTCTCATAGAACATGAGTAACATATTAAATTTTGTCTTCTTTACCAAGAGCAATGAATCATCAGCATCAGAGAATATAAAGGACAGTAGATTCTCCCAGTTTAAAGTTGGGCTTGAAATGTCAATTCCACCCCCGTCCCGATGTCAATATAGTCCCTCTACTGACCTTCTTCAAATAGATAGATGAGTCACTAGGGAGAGTCAGTGAATTCACTTCTTCTTCTAAGTACTGAGCAGTTTCCCTGTCCTGCTCTGGAGAAAATTAAATCCGGTTGCAGATGGTGGAAGGATTCATAACAAGCACACTCAGAGTCTGTATATGGAACTATATGTGGAAGGATACATGACATTCTAAAGGATGCAAGATTCAAATTGACAGTTGGGCACAGAATCTGATGACCCAATAATGGGATGGAAAGATTTTATATACATGTACCAGCAACTTCTTGCCCTGCACTAATTGCCAGGCAATCAAGGGTATAGACTTTTTAGTTTCCCAGAAGGAGCAGAAGTTGGGCCATATCTGGAGAAAGAACTTGTAGCCCTATACTGTATATCTTGTATGCACAAGCCAAAGGAATACAGTCAAAGAAGCAATAAAAACAGCTCAAAAACAACGGTTTTGCTTTATTTTGTTGGGCTCTATAGGAGGTAATGGGGCGAAGAGGAACCCCTCAGCAGACCAGTGTTTTGGAGGGTTGAAAAACATCACCAACTATTATTTCTTCACCTATGCAGTTTTAATGGTAAAGATGTAAGTGTGAAAGGGGGATGGAAAGGGTGGCGGTGTGAATTAGGTTTGGGAAGGGCAGCTGATCATATAACTTGATATCAACAGCTGAACCTCTTATGGTCAGGAAAATCAAGAACAAACAGATTCTAAGAATCAGCAAGAGTATACCTATTAAGTATACTTAATTGTAAATATTAATTCCCGTACAAATAGCAAAAAAATAATATTTGGTTTCAAGTGCAGAGACATAAAACCATGTAGTGACTAAAATAGGACAGTGACAGGGAATGCCATTACAGAAATGTTTAAGTGCCCATTCCCTTAAAAAAATTATAATGAGCACAGTCTGTATTTTTAACTGTTTTTGTCTCTGTATTGTGTACATTATTTTAACCCTGTTAGCCGCCTTGAGCCAGCGTGTTCGGCAAGGCAGGATATAAATAGAAATAATAAATAAATAAGTATCTGAAGGACTTTGGGAGCTCACATATTCAGTTATAGGAAAAGTTGCTTAAAAGATACACATTTGTTCACCCTTAGACCAATTGATTGGATTTACAAAAGGTGAATCAACATCCCAAGTACTTACATTTCTAGCTGGGTAGCAAGGCTTATAAAGGACACTCCAAACCTTTTTTAAAGAAAGAAAAGGAAAATTGTTTTTGAGATACCTTAGTTACCACCACCAAATGAGAAGGGAGCACTCACTGGAGAAAACCCTGATGCTGGGAAAGATTGAAGGTCAAAGAAGACGGGGACGGCAAAGGATGAGATGGTTAGACAGTGTCATAGATGCAACAAACATAAAATTGAGCAAACTTCAGAGGACGGCAGAAGACAGGAAGGCCTGGCATGATCTGGTCCATGGGGTCGCGAAGAGTCGGACCCGACTGTGCGACTGAACAACAAACAACAAAGTTGTTCTATTTCTGTGACTCTGGAAATGGGGTTGGGCTTTGCTACCACGCACAGTTGTGTTGCTACAAGTATTTGTGGTTTGCATATTATCCCAGATGAAAGTGCTCCAGTGTGAAGGTGATTCCTTGCTCAGGTGTTTCTTTAGCAGAACTGTGGCTCCGGTGGTGGAAGGGCTCCCACTGTCTTAGAATAGGTTCTTAATCCTCTCTTGGAAGCTGGGGAGAATCCCGCCCCCATTGGCTCACGATGACCAAATGATACTTCATCTGCTGCTTCCTCTTATATATTCACATACTACAAGCTGTCCTTATCACTGGAGGAAATAATTATTTCTAAATTCGTGTTAAAAGTATCTTAATCTTATTATTTGTTTTGTAGCCCACTACTCTTTGAAACAGCTGCACACAGTCTGGAAGCTCTGTAAGATTATTTTTGTATGGCTTATGTGGTATATTTTATTTGAAAATGACGATATTGCAAGAGAAAATTTAGACTTCAATTTAGCTTCAGTTTAGGGAAAATGGAGTAGAAAGATGAAAATGAAAGCTAAAATAACCCATTTAGAAGTAACAATTGGGGAACCCGTGAGGAAACATGGGAAGGGGAGTCTTATGTTCACATTCCCTCTTGCCTTTCCTCTTTGCCTTCCCATCATGGCTTGCAGCCTCTTCCCTTAACTCCTGTATTTGCATGCTAATTTACTGCTATTCACAGATTTTACCAACTGCCTTAATCCAATTTCAGCTATAATTGCCCAGCTACTTATGCATCTTGACTCTAAGTTGCCCTTCCTGGCAACTAAACCTCCCCCCCTTATTTGAAGAAATGTGCTTGCACACAAAAGTTTATACCTTGAATAAAACTTTGTGGGTCTTAAAGGTGATACTAGACTCAGACTTTTTTATGCCTATGTAAGAGACTCTTTTTGTGTGTGTGTGTGGCTCAAGTGGTTAAGACGCTGAACTGCAGGCTGTGGAAGGTCAGTAGTTCGGCAGTTCGAGACCCGGGTGCTGCATGATGGAGTGAGTTCCCATCTCTAGTTCCAGCTCCTGCCAACCTAGCAGTTTGAAAGCAAGAAATTGCAAGTAGATAAATAGGTACCACTTCGGTGGGAAGGTAAAAGCGTTCCGTGCGCCTTGGTGTTTAGTCATGCTGGCCACATGACCACGGAAACGTCTTCGGACAGTGCTGGCTCTTTGGCTTTGAAACAGAGATGAGCACCGCAACCCTAGAGTCAGATTCGAGTGGCTTTCGAGCAAGGGAACCTTTACCTTTTTAAGAGACTCTTACACATCTAGGTTGTACTGTTTATTAGTGATTACTCTAGGAGAAAGCAGATGCAGAATAAAAGATTAGAAGTGCAATGGGAAATAGAGTTGCACCCTTCTAACCCGGCTGACTTTAGTGAAATCAGAACTGTGTAACTCTGTTTAGGATTGTACCGTAATGGACTCATATTATTTATTTATTTATTTATTTAAACTTACTACCCCGCTCTAACCCCATAAGGGGTCTCTGAGTGGCTACAGTTACTCATTATCCCTAACCTATGGCCACAATTTTTGGGGATGGGGACAATCCCTACCGGCACCCAGTGGAGGGGTTTCTCTCTCGGGTTGGCTACGTCGACTTTGGCTTCGGCTTCTAGCTCCTTCCTGGCGGTCTTTCAGCGGCGGATCGGTTGGGCCCTTCTGCCGCGTGGCATGCTCCGGCGCGGCCTTGGCTCAGTCCTCGCGGCTCCGCCCGACCTGCGCCGTCCACACTCGTGTGTCATCCTGGCTCCGTCTTTCCGCCGCCATCTGTTTCGCCTCCGATGTACCCGGACACCATCTTTCACCGCTCGCCGCTTTCGCCGTCCGCCAAGCTCCGACACTCCAACGACCCCCACAGCGGGGGAGGGTGCCCCCTACCTTCTAAGGTAGGTTCCCATTTATCTACTTGCGCTTATCAGATGTTAATTGGCGCTTTTGAACTGCTGGGTTGCCATCCTCCAGGTGAGGCCTTGAGATTCCCCCGTTATTATAACTGATCTCCAGATGACAGAGATCAGTTCCCCTGGAGAAAATGGCAGCTTTGGAGGGTGGACTCTATGGCCGCGTACCCTGCTGAGGTCCCTCCCCTCCCCTCCCCAAACCCTGCCCTCCCCAGGTTCCAACCCCCAAATCTCCAGGTATTTCCCTACTTGGAGCTGGCAATCGTAACTCACATGGTGATGCTACCTAATCACCCATTGCAGGGCACCTTTAATCGTGATAGGGGCTTGAATCCCGGTGGCCCCCTCAAGTTATACCCATATTAAGGCAATTACTTTTCCAAAGAACTAGCAAATACCCATCACGATGGGCACTGAGGAGGATATAAAACTGTTCTTTTTTATTTTTAACTGTATTGATTGTATGTGGTATGTTGTTACACCTTCTGAGCCTGTTTGCAGGGAGGGCGGGATATATACACATCTAGAACACTTTATAGTTTTGTAATATTATAATGATTGTTTTTAAGCTGTTTTAACCTGTTTTATGTATTGGCATGTGCCCCATTTGTGAGCCGCCCTGAGCCCGTTCGTGGGGAGGGAGGGCTTCTTACATGACTGAGTTTGTTTGTTTGTTTTTTTAAAAAAATCCAATGACTGATAAAAATTTCCATGCATTTTTAAAAAAAATATCAAAGAAAGGTCTGTAGCACCTTAAAGACAAACACATTTATTGTACAGTTTGGTGAGAGCCAAAACATGTCTAAAGCGTTCGATACACTTTAACCACTTGCATAATATTTTCTTACAATTTTGTTGCAAGTTATCTTTGCTCGGAATCTTATCTTGAATTCACGTGTAATAAGCTCCATGTGTACTTCTCTCAAGATGCTGGTACTCCGTTGCCCAATCAAATGCTATCACACTGTATTAAAAAAGCAAATTGCACCTTGACTTCTGAAACACTTGTTTTTTGCCAAATTTGCTGCTATTGTTTTTTTTAAAATAAAATAAAATAAATCAGTGGTGCAATCTGGGAATAAAGTCGCCGTTCAGCAGTGTATGATGGGAATTGTAGGCATACGGAGTCAGTCAAGAGACTATGTTATTATTGGTGGAGAACAGTAAAACGGCCCACCCTAATTTTGTATTTCTTGTGGCTATTGGTTGAAGATTACTTTGCTTGAGTAATCTTTCTTGCGTTGCAATAAAACGCCGAGCTGGGAAAAGGAAAGCGCTTTGGAAGAAAGTGGTTCGGTAGTATCACTTAAACATGTCCGAGCAACCGGAGGTTAACGGCCTTACTGACGAAGCAGCTTTTAGTGCCTGCTCGGATCCTGACCCCAGCACGAAGGTAAAGCGAAGGAACCTTAAAATGAGCGGTGGGTAAAACTGGAAAGCACTGGTGGAAATCAAGTCAGAAGAAATTGCCGAGGTTTATTGCGGGCGCGCCCTCTTTCTTTCTATGGTGTGTGGATGGAGCTAGGTTAGGTGTTGTCGAGGTTTCCGTGGTCAGTGTGGAATACATTGGGAACACTGTTCGGAACGGGCTAAGCAGAAGAATTTCCTTGGGTATCACCTTTCATTTGCGTGTTTGCCTTTGCCACAGTTTAACACGATCGGCCTGGAGGTTCAGATCCCTCCCAGAATGCTTCAGTAGGTTACAGTGTATACTCTGGATATCTGTTTAACAAGGGTGGTGTTTTTCGGAGTGTGTACGTGTTTATTCATTACTTTGCATAGAAAGCCAGAGAGAGATGAATTTAGTTAATACGAAATAAAAGCCTGTCATGTTGTTAATTGGCACTTCATTACATTCCAGGCCAAAGTACCTTCGGTGAGAGTGGATTCTAGTTTTTTTTTTTTAAAAAAACTATCCAGTATTTGCTATTCCAATAAGGAAAAAAATCTTTCAGTAAAAAGTTTTGTATACTGTCTAACTTTTCATGGAACAACCATCAGTGTTTTTCTAAGCCATTCTATTACTCACTCCCATCCCATTCTGTAGTAAAACATTTTGTTCCCAGTTCGGGATCGTGTTTATTAAATTTTCCTTTTGAGTGGTCTTGCAAAACGATTTTTGGGGTGTATAATATATGTTGTTTTGTCATTCCCTATTCTTTCTTGTGACTGTTTCTTATAATTTCCCAGTAAACATGGGGAAAGTCGTAGGAATGCTGCCATATTTTAACAGTAATCCTATATAAAATTATAATTCTGACAATCAGATCTACAAATCAAACAACTGCAATATACTGTTGCAATTGTATATTAATACATATCCTGTAGATTTACACAAATATTTGTGTGTTCCATATCTAGTCCTACTCCTCTATGGAAATGTTTATTGAGCCATATAAGATCACATTAATATCATATGACTTTGACATTATTTGGGCCTTTATTTCAATTATTCAGTGAAATCCCACCCCCCACCCCCATATTCTAATGTTGGCTTTTTCATAGTACACCAGAATATAACTAATTATCTTTCTGCAGGATTTTCTGTTGCAACAGACAATGTTAAGAATAAAAGATCCTAAGAAGTCGCTGGATTTTTATACTCGAGTTCTTGGCATGACGTAAGTATCAATGGTTTGGATTAGTAATGGCACATTGTTCCAAAAATCATACCTGCTTGTTTCCTAAGAGTACAAGATTAGACAATTAAAGGACTCTCTTTCTGCATGAATTACACTGCAATCCTATGCAGAGTTACTTCAGTTTAAGCTCACTGAAATCCATAGACTTAGACTGGAGTAATCTTGGGCAGGTTTTTGGTGCTAGATTTAATAAATCACATTCTGCAGTCTTCTTACTACAGCTAATGGCAGTGGAAGGATGAGAGAATGCTTAAATTCTGGATTCCAATTTGCAGGGGCTTCAAACATTCAAGTCATGAGAAGTGAATAAGAGATGTGCTACCTAGATCAGTTGAAATTTAGCGTGCCTCTAAGCTATTTGACCTAAGGCAGTATCCTGGTGTGGGAGGACTGACACAGAATGATCTCATGATTCTTACATTGTATTAATTATTCTGTGGGAAGTTATAGTGCCTTAATTGAGAAGTACCTCTAGCAAGTGTGTGTCTTTACAAATAGGTGTAAATTGAGAACACTAGTTTTATGTAACATACCTGACATTAACAAAGTACGTACTATCATAAGATGACTAATAGGATGTGTAAGGATTTGATGCAACTATGTTGCAAACACCATTGGGTTGTTTTTATTTCTTTGCTTCTGGAAGATTAATTCTGCTGTTTGAGTGCAAGGCAAAGATGATATTTAACAGGAGCAGTAATTTAAAGAAGCTGGGAAGAAGAGGAAAATGCTGATGCTCTAGAGTGGTTTGTGATTATCCATGCAGAAGGGAGTAGCAATTTAGTAACGATTTCTATTCTTATTGCAGAACTTTTGGAGCAAGCTGAATGGCCTGGCTGTAGCACATAGATCTGCCTGTGTTTCAAACTGGGCAAACAGCCTTGGCCTTTAACTGTGTCCTTTTAAAAGGTACAGCATAGAGCAAACAAATTGGTCTGTGTATGCTTGTTTAGAAGTTCCCAGTTTCTCTATGGAGTGTGTGCACGAATAGTCCATGTGGTATAGTAAGCAGAGAATCAGACTGGGAAGACCTTCATTTATGTTTTCTTCATTTATACTCTGTCCCCAATGGGAACCCAAAGCAGCTTGCATTGTTCTTCCTTCATCTTATCCTCATAACAACCCTTGTGAGTGTGTGACTAGCTCAAGATCATGATGTAAGCTTCCATGGAAGATTGGGGATTCAAACCTGTGACTCACAGATCCTCCTCTGACCGCTAGGCAACACGGGGTCTCGTGGATGGGTTCAGATCCCTGCTTAGCTCATTGATTAAACTTGGGACATTGAGTTTAACCTATCTCACAAGATTGTTATGAGGATGAAACAGAGAGAGATGCTAAGCCTTTAGATAAGCTTTTTGCATACATTCAATATTTGGAAAATGGAACAATATATTTTTTTCCTTAGGAAAGCAAAATGTCACAGTTGAGGGTCCCCCCCCCAAAAAAACCCCTAAAACAAAAAGTGCTTCATACTTGGTCTGTCAAAATGAATTGTGCAGATTTTACCGGCCTCTGTTGCATATTTTTTGTGCTGTAGTTAGCAACATATTATGTAACCCATATTAGATCTTCACCATCCAGAGATTATATCTTTGTGTAGGATGTTGGTGTTACAGACCTATTGCACTTGGCTCAGCAGAATAGGCTACAGTGCTAACCACACACATCAAGTTAGATTTACAAATCAGACCGGTTTACTAAGTATAATAGTGCATTCATTACATTAGTGACATCAAATAATCAAGTAAAGACATGCAAGATGTGTCATGTTATCTCACTCTTGGGGATTAAGAGTATTAATGGAAGCTGTGTGGTGGCCAGCTAGTCACTTCAGAGCATGCCTGGTCTTCTCAGGGATGGCAAGGAGGAGGTTAGCACCCACGGTTATGCCTATCTTTGTTTCTGCTGTGCTGGAGAGCATAGAAACAAGCTTGATTTCTTGGAATGGAATCTTTGTCTCTGCTTCTCTCTCTCTGGATTGCTTTAAGTTAATGGTCCACTTTTTAAAAAAAATACTTCAGTTACATTAAATGGTTAGGTGAAAAGTTCAGTTACACTGTCTCCTTGCAACGATCTTTTCCATTCATGTTTTGACCACATGTCATCCAAGACAAACATAGTTTCATATGCATGTGTGACGCAAAGGCTGATACATAATTTTAGCAGCTCCTAACCACACCTCAGGGAGCTGCGGTGGCGCAAGTGGTTAAGACGCTGAACTGCAGGCTGTGGAAGGTCGGTAGTTCAGCTGTTCGAGACCCGGGTGCCGCATGACGGAGTGAGCTCTCGTCTCTGGTTCCAGCTCCTGCCAACCTAGCAGTTCGAAAGCAAGAAATTGCAAGTAGATAAATAGGTACCACTTCAGTGGGAAGGTAACAGTGTTCCGTGCGCCTTGGTGTTTAGTCGGCATGACATGGTGTTTAGTCGGCCACATGACCACAGAAGCGTCTTCGGACAGCGCTGGCTCTTCGGCTTGGAAACTGAGATCTGTAGAACTAAAATGTTTGTGCGTGCGCAGAACAGCGATTTCCACCCGACTGCTGTAACACTTCCCTTTAAACTTTAAAGGAACACTTCCCTTTAAACTTTAAATGAACACTTCCCTTTAAACGTTTACCCTGAAAATGGCCTCTGTGAGATCCCGAACGCGTCTAAATGCTAAAACTAGGCACCGTTTAAACATTGTTTTTAATAACGTGGTGGTGGAGCCCCGTCTATGCGCACACTGCCAACGCTTTTAAAAATGGCGGGCAAAAAGCGGAAGCCTTGGGCAGCTTTCGTACGGGGAGGGGTTTTAAACTGGAAGTGGCTCGACACCGGAGGGGGGGAAATGCGGCTGGAAACGGAGAATCAGGAAAACACCACTTGGGGACCTGGTAACAAAATACTCCGGTTTAAAGGGGATTTGAGCCAGAAAGTGATGGCTGGGGATGGGAGGCAGATATTGACTGTGTGATCGCGTGTATAACTGGCATGACACCAGATCAAATGGCGCGTCTGAACGCACCCTAAGTTATGACTTTGCATTAGCTGTGCCCCCCAACTCAAGACACCTGGGCCAGTTTAACCATAAGTGTCTTCTCTTTTCTTTTTCTTCCAGATATTTACCAGAGGATTTTTCAGTAACTGGCTTTATTCAGTTCTTAATGGCAACTTAGCAAATCACCTTTTTGACACATAAGCCTCTTTACAGCCCTTTTCCTCTGCTGCAGCCTCTTGTTTAGTTCCTTAGCCAAGTTTTGACTTGGGTTTGGGATCCATGAACCCAAGTTCTGTGTGCTCCCAATCAATGTTCCCTCTAAGCTGTGGAGTCTTGTGAGCAAAAATTCTACTTTGCGAACTACTGGCATTAAAGTTGTGAGTGAGCGATTTGGCTCCTGCATAAATTAGTTAGCTCTGGAGCCATCTTCCCTGAGCTGAGACAAAAATGTGTGAGCCGGAGGTTAAAAAACTGTGAGCTAGCTCACACTAACTCAGCTTAGAGGAAACACTGCTCCCAACAAACCTTTTGGCTTTTTTATGTTTTATAAGCATTTTAATATCTGTATACTTCTTGAATAAGTACAGTATTTCTCCCTCTCTGAAAAGTAAGTGATCACAAGTACTGTTTTTCTATCTTTGCTTTCAGTAACAGCAGAACAGCTGTGAGTGTTCAGAATCTTTTGACATAAGAATGCAACTTCATATTTTTGAATGTATGTGGTGGTGCCCTATTGCCTCTTCCCACATGAGTTTGTATCAATCTGTTATCTTCTAGACTACTCCAGAAGTGTGACTTCCCTTCTATGAAATTCTCCCTCTACTTCCTGGCTTATGAAGATAAAAATGATATTCCAAAAGATGCAAAAGAGAAAACAGCTTGGACTTTTTCTAGAAAGGCCACAATGGAGCTCACACAGTGAGTGTTAAATTGCTTTGTCTGCATATTTTCTCTTTAACAGAGGAATTCTAGCTATGTATTGTTGGCCATCTTGATCCCCCCTCCCAACTTAATTATAGCTATGATTAGTTTAATGCTGCCTTACTATACAAGTCTCTTGAGAGCAGAGTACCTTTTTCATACCTTGAATTTGCTGAAATACCCTGGATCAGGGATAGTAACTTTCAGGGAAGACAAGGCAACTTTTGAGGAGTCCTATAAGTCCTGTTAATGTTCATTTAAAAAAATAAAATAAACGTTGGTCCCACTATTTCATTTGGGGGAGGGGGAGTCTATTACCAGTTAGGTAATTTTTTGCATTTGGAGGATACCATCAGTTAGGCATTAAAGTGGAAAAATATGTTGAGTACTTGAAATGTAAAAGTACATCCCAGGAATGAAATAGTCTTCTGGGAAAGATTAGACTCTTAAGTGAGAAGAAATATGAAAGGAGTAATGAATATCACTGAAGGTAATACTCATTATATGGGCCGTGCTTTTGAATTTAACATATGCTTGTCACTTGCTATTAAAAATAAAGTGTTCATTCCAGCTTATGTTTCAAATCATAACAAAGTGCCTTTTGGTTCTTCGTCAGTGTGTCACCATATGTTGCTAGCATGAAAACTAAAGTCTACCCAGAATGGTTTGACTGCAATGATAGTCCTTGATAACTGCTAAGAATAAATCTAAAACATCCCTGCCATCTAATACTTAAAAAAAATAAGTGATGCGTAGCGTGAACATGAGAAAAAGATGGCTATGAGCTATGGTAAGAGCTTCACTATGAATTAACAAGGCTCTGTCTGTATCCGCTCTTACCTTAAATACTTTGTACCTTTTGTCACTGAAACAGTACTTGAGGTTTACTTGTGCTTTTATAAAGGAAATTGTGTGAGGTTTTTTTAGTGAGTGATTAATACAGGACAGCGTTCTGTGCACCTTGGTGTTTAGTCATGCCGGCCACATGACCACGGAAACGTCTTTGGACAGCGCTGGCTCTTCGGCTTTGAAACGGAGATGAGCACCGCAACCCTAGAGTCGGATTCGACTGGCTTTCGAGCAAGGGAACCTTTACCTTTACCTTTAATACAGGACAGCAATGCTGAAATTCTGCTTGGTTTTTGATTTCCTGACTTTGGGAATGAGGCTATGTCTTCTATCTCTCCTAGTAATCCTGACCCCAAACTAGAACCAGTGGTGGGGAAATGGTGAATAAGAACCTTGGTTTTGGCGCACAAACTGCGTAGTACCAGCAGAGACAGAAAGAATAAGGTTTCAGGCCATCCATCCATCCATCCATCCTAGTAGCAAGAAGGGCTGGTCTACTAATGCAACAGAATAAGGTGGTAGAATTCTGAGTGGGCTATACCACTTCAGACTGCAGGTAGAATATCATATTTTCAGTGCAATGTTATTTGAAATTTTTCTGCAACTAAATAAATAAAGCTCCCAAGGGTGAAACATTCTGTTCCAGTGCTGTACCTGCTGTACAAGTTGTTTACTTATTGAGAATTGTTAATGTAGGTAGAGGAACTATCACTCCCCTGCAGTCTGAAGTGATACGTTCCGCTCTGCCACTTCATTTTGCTGCATGTGTAGACCATGCCTCAGTTAGTAGAGGGAAAGAAATGAAATGCAGACTTTCTGCATAGTTTCTTTATTGTAAGCATTAGTAAGTACGGCTTGTTCATCTTTACATACAGTAAGTGTAAGCCTGGTGGTCTGCAGCTACCATAGGCTTAGAGTATTCAACTGGTGGCTTCTATACTAGGAATACACCAGAAATTGGATTTTGGTTAAAAGGATAAGAAGAAAGGTATTGTGGAGTCAAAATATCTCAACCAGGGGTCTTAAAGGTTTTCCCTTTCTATAGATTCAGTAAAGGCGCTCTGAATTACAAGTATAAAACAGTACATAAAAGGTTAGTTCACTGGCACCTGGTCAAGCAGACAGCTTGCCTAACTGGTATACCAAGGGACCATCCTGAGTCACTCATGCACCCCTCCCCCATTTGGCACTGCGGCTTTCTTACCAGTTGGGGTGCCAGTGAGAGGGTAGCAATGCAGTGGAGTGGGCTGCAGATCCCTAGGCGTGGCTGTCACCTGTGCAATACTGCTGCCCTCTCATCACCAGGTAAAAGCTTTGTTAACCAGCATATTTGGTTAACAGGCAACTCCTGTTCCCTGCGTATGGCAACTCACACTGCTTTTACTTTATTACCAATCTACACATTTTCTAGTTCTGAAACCGTAGGTGCATGTAGCCTAGCCTCCCAAAACACATTGAACAAGTGGGTGTTTTACTCTTCCAGAAAACCTTTGTGGCTAAAGTAGTTTGTTTTTTTAAAAAAAATCTTGTACCCTTCATAAAAGGAGGAAATGTAGAAGGGAATTATAAAATGTAAAAGTTATTTGGTTATACATTTCATTGATTAACCAGAAGCTACCAGTATCCACCTTCCATAGGGAACTGTTGCCTTTCTATGGCTGCGGTCACACGCAACATTAGCCACGCAAGAGATACGGAAGACAAGCGGAGTTTCCGGTCGCGATCTCACCAGCACATCTGGGAAGCGTAGTGCTTCTGTGGCACAACTGAGGCTTCCTGCCGAAAAAGCGCAGCAAAAAACTAGTACCTTGGAGGTACTAGTTTCCAGAAACTGCGGGGCAAGGGCGGGCGTCTGATCGCGTTTCCGGTGGCATCCGGCGCCCGCCCATGTCCCCTTGCGGAAAAGGGTTTTTTTTCCCCCACGTCTCCGTGGATGCGCACACGCACCCAACGGAGCATGCGCATTCGTAGTGTACACAAAAAAAGAAAACCAGTTCGCCGCGCCGCGCGCTTCTTCATTGCGCGCAGGCGTGTGTTGTGATCGGCACCTCTCCCTTGCCATGGAACCTCCACAGAAGGTCTGATCGCTTTACTGCATGTTAGTTTGCCCCGGGGCAAACAGCCACACTTCTCCTCTGCAGTTTCCTGCCCGTGTGGCAGGGGCCTATAATTATCTTTGACACATATCCTGATTTAAAATGCTTATTATAAAGATAGTAGGTTATTAATGTCCATGGTTTAAAGTAGAGAAATAATATTGCTTTCAACAACTGGTTACCTGTGCTTGTCCTCCTGTAACTGTTTGGTTATTTGTGGTTTGGAACCTATGATTTGTGATCAGAGTGGAATAGACTTTCCCCATCATAGTCCTCGGGAAATGCTGTCTTTAAGTGTGTGTGTGTGAGAGAGAGAATGTGGGGTGAGAAGAGCACTAGGTGTAATATGGGGGATCTGCAGTAGGAGGGGGAAATCAGCAAAAATAGCCTCCACATCAGTACACTTGCTCTGGTAGAAATGAACTCTAGGGTTCAACCTACTCATCTGGGTAGATATTATTTTCATTTCTTCTGCTCTCCAGAGTATTTTTTCTCTTTTTGTTGTTCTTCCCCTCTCATTAAATATTTGTGGTTTTGAAAGGTAAAGTGTCTTTGATTTGTTTTAAGCTGTGTTAATCAATGTGCCCTTTCTTTTGCTTTCATTTATCTTCTTTTCTTCTCTCAGCAACTGGGGCACAGAAAATGATGAGGACCAGACTTACCACAATGGCAATTCAGACCCACGAGGATTTGGTATGTTGTAAAGAAAGTCAGAGTGTCACAATCACAATTTTTCTTTTCAGAGTTGTCTGTAAATCTCTAAGTAAATGATGTGATTTAGACTAAAATAATAAGATGGGAGAGACTTGTCTTGGCTGTAGCACATGTGAAAAGGATCTAGGGGTCTTAGTAGACCATACCAGGGGTGTGCAAAAAAAAAGAATTCGGCCCATTCGGATTCGGCCAAATTGGGCAGAATCAATTTTGGCTGGCAGTAAGACTCCCGCATGTCAGTTTTGTCAGTAGGAGCCGATTTGGGAGTCTTTCCGCTAGCCAAATGTCAATTTCAGCCCCATTATATCCTAAGGGCCATTGAAGTCAATGGTGAAAACATAGGGTATATTTCTGGGGGCTGGAGGGGAGGGGGCTTGTGGGAGAGACTCCAAACTCGCAGGGTAGCTGCTGGAGCCTCTCCCCAAGATACCAACCAATTTTCAAGAGCATTGGACCAGGGGGGTCCAATTCTACGGGCCCCCAAACAGGTTGCCCCATCCCCTCCATTGTTCTCTATAGTGGGGGGAAAAGTTACTTTTTTGTATGCGCCGTTAGCCGCCCTGAGCCTCCGGGGAGGGCGGGATAGAAATGTGAATAATAAATAAATAATAAATAAATAATACTGATAGCCACTTTGCTGGCAGGAATTTTCCTCCAGGCTAGATTGGCCAGGGATCTTGGAGGTTTTTTGCCTTCCTCTGGGCATAGAGTAGTGATCACTGGGGGAGGCGGGATGGTAGTTCTGAATTTCGTGTTGCGCAGGGATTGGACGAGATGACCCTTGAGGTCCCTTTAAGAAAACCATATGTCCTGTAAAGAGGCAAAACGACTCCTCATTCTTAACCACTTCAGAAACCTAAACCAACCCAGTTCATCTTTTCCCCCCGCTATGAGGCACAAGATTTTGACAGCACATTCTGTATCTTGACAAGGAGGCCCTAGTTAATAAAGGCCATGATCTCCATGCGACAGAAGAGACAAAGCCAGGTAGTTTTCTTTTTGCCACACCACTTGTTGCTTAGCCAGATGTGGGTTGTTACAGCTTAGCATTTTTATGCCTGATCCTTTTGGGAGAAAAAAAATGGCAGTGGTGGTACAGTTCGCTAGTGTAGCTGTGGGTTACTGCTTTCTTTCCAGTTACAATGGGAACAATTGAACTTGCAATATTTTTTTCTTCCGGTCACTTTTATTTCTGCTGTGCATAGAACTATGACATTGTATTCTATAATACAGTATTACCGAATAAAAAGATATGATAGTGTTCCCACTCTGTTAGCTGATTCTTTAAAACAGGGATGGCCAACTTCCAGGTAATAGCTTGGAGGCTAAAATTGACACCCCCCTCCCCCCAAGTTGTCCCATGCTATTTAAAACCGTGCCATTTCCCAGCAAAAGTTCCAAAATAGATAAAAAAGACAGATGCATTTCTTTTTTTGCCCTTATGGATGAAACTTGGAGCAATTTTTCTACTTCATTCTGTAATGGAGAAAAACCAGTTGGAGTGTTCAAGTTGGCTGATCCTGCTTTAAAAGACAGAATGTTTACTGCTGGCTTGTTCATTCATTAGGTTTGGGGACTAGTATAGAAGTTTTTTCTCCATGGGAAGTTAGTTCCTTACCTTGAGATCCCACAGAAAATGTACCTTTAAATGTTCTGGATTACGTTTTTTTTTCTGTTTGTACTGGGATAGGTTGAATGCATTTTTCAGTGCTACAAACATAGTTTATGAAAGAAAACTGGAGTCTCATATTCAGTGTTCATACCATTGTCCTTGATTGCTTTGTTGCTGCTCAGGTCACATTGGAATTGCTGTCCCTGATGTAAATGCAGCTTGTAAACGATTTGAGGAGCTAGGAGTAAAATTTGTCAAAAAACCAGATGATGGTAAGTCTTTGCCATATATTATTGGTTCTGAACCCTCAAGGTGTGTTTTGTGTGTGTGAGTGTAAAGTTTTGAAGGAAAGAATCTTGAGATGGGGAGGGGGGCTTTTCCCTAGCACCCACCTGGTCATAATGGCCTTAAATGTCCCGAGCAGTATTTCCACTGATTGGATTTGTGGTGCTTGCCCAGTCACCAACTTGATTTGTAAAGAGCTGTTGCTTTGTTCTAACTGAATTATTTAAAGAAGCTGGAGATGTCTTGTAGTATTTGTCTAAAACCTGCATTTAATAAATATCCCAACCAATAGGTAAGGGTTCCCCAACGTGGTGCCTGTGGGTGCCATGGCACCTGCTGACACCTTTTCTGGTACCTGCCAAGTGTTTCTAGGGCTTTTGTCCAGCAAGGCTTCTGATTAACTATCGGAGATTTGATTGGCTGTGCAGATTTTTTAAAAATGTTGCTTTGACAGCAGCTGCCACTACAGCACAAGGATCTGCACTGCGTTACTGAAGTTAAGCTGTGGCAATCATTTTGTGGCTGGCTTAACCTTCTGTGGCAGCCATTTTGTTGCTGCACCCACCGTGCCATGTCAGAATTCCAAATGTGCCCACAGGCTCAAAAACGTTGGGGACCCGTGCCATAGGTCCTTGCATGCAACACGAGGTTGTATGTACACAACAATGTGTGAGGATTGTTGAGTGCTCACCCCATGGAACAAAGATTGTAGAATCAATTGAAAATGGGACCTGCCTTCAGAAAGCCTAAGAGGTGTTGTATAAGGCTCCCCACAACTATTTATCATGTAGAATAAAACAATATACATGAAGGTACCTGGCTGCTGATGGTTTTAATGTATCATGATTCTCAGAATTCAGTTATTCATGTTTCTGATTCTTGTGACCCGTAAAGGCAATACAGTTGCAGTCATTTAACATTTCTGAATACGGGTTAGGTTTGCTGGGCTACTTGGAAGGGTTTGGTTTTCTTACAATTGATAGCCATCTTGAATCTTCCAGTTGAACAGCAAAGGAATGTAAAAATGCACAATTGTGTGCCGTTTCTACAGAAGTCTGTGAAAGATGCTCCTCAATGTTGTTTGAGAGGCTTGGAATGTGTTGTAAGTCTTGAATTGTAACAATATCTCCGTCTTTTGTAGGTAAAATGAAAGGGCTGGCTTTTATCCAGGATCCTGATGGCTACTGGATAGAAATCCTGAATCCTAATCACATGGTGACTCTTATCTAAGTTGGAAATATTGCAGTGATCTTTCATCAAGAGTGACTGAAAATATACAAAAATGTGCTCCTGCTGTGAGGCATGTACTGGATTTAAGAGAAGAAAGTTTATATAGTCACTAAAGCCCATATGGTGCAATCCCACGCCCCCCCCCCCCCTTTTTGGCCTGTTCTTCTGTTTGGCTTATCCTGAAGATGTTTTAGCATAGTTAGTAACTGAAGAGCATAAATACCTCCTGGAAGTGCTATTACATACTTGTGCAAAAATCTTGTTCCCTTTTCAGGATTTGCTGAATTTGGAGGGTTTTACAGTCATACTGCCTTTCATAGTCCAAAATTAGGCAGGAAAATTTATACATTTAAATTATTTGGACATGCTGAAAAGACAACATAGCAAACTTAAATAAATTTGTGAGGACAGAATAGAATGCAGAAGTCTTGTTCCTTTTTCCTTTGATGGGGACAAAGCTCCATTTGAATTTACTGGAATTTGTTCAGATCTCGGTACATGGTGATAAGCTACTCTTGCAACACTTTACAGGTACTTCAGTTTCTTATGGAAGCGATAAGTTTGAGTAAAAAAAGTGTAGCCCATATTGCTGCTGAGCCCAATTTTTTTAGCAATGTAGGAATCCATTATCTAGACTAGGTGCTGTGGAGAGCTTTTAATCCAACAACACAAAATATAAGGAAAACACTGTGGCAGAATTTGTAATCTGCAGTTAAAGATGAACAAGGATTGCCATGATCCCTTTGTATGTGTGGTATAAATATTAAGAGCAACCAGTCTTGCCTTTTATGGACTAGGTAATAATGGTTGTATAAAAAAGTGTGTGCATAATATAATTTTCTACTTTGATATAGTTAAATACAGGAACTTGGTGTAATCTAGATCAAGGCATTTGAAATATTAGACTACCTACTGTGGCATAACTCTTACCTGCCTCTTTAAAATGACAGTTGAATTCTGGAATGTTATAACTGAGGTTTGTAAACCAGTTAGTGGTACCCTGTTAGCAGCACTTTAGATCTCGTTTTGGAATGCACAGTGGCATCAAATAAAATTATTTATTTAAGAGCAAAGTTCTACATGACATTCTTTTGCCAGAAGGCAGCTAAAATGCAAATAAACAACAAAGAGTTGCTGGAATAGCCTCTCCTGTTCTTCCCACAAATGACCAGCTGATGAATAAGTACTGCAACTGTGCTATGATCAGCAAAAATGGCTGGTTTGGTCCAAGTCAACTGGAACATCTAAACATTTTATCTAATATGGCATAGCCTGTCCTTTCCGGCTTGAATTCTTCCTTCCTCCATTTTATTCCTAGTGGGGAGTGATTGATGCTACTCAAGACTTCTGAAGTCATCGGATCATTCTGATGTTAATGTATGTTTAGAATTCAGGTGGAAGTAGATAATAATATTTTGGTAGCTTTTCAGAAATCATCTATGTTCCTATCAAAATCTGGCCAGAATCTCTTTGTGTACACATCATGTATGCAGTGAACTATCACCAGCCCCTTCAGCACCTACTGTCATCGTTACAAGAAAATAGTGCAGGTTGAAAATGGCTGGGCTTGTGAGAGGAGGGCTCATCTAAAGCAGACAACAAGCTAAGAGAAACACTTTTTCCTGAAGTGTGTTAGACACCTGCAAAATGAAGACAAATGATATCATATGAGGGTTTCTTAACTAGCTCAATATGTACATGCAAAAGAAGGTCTATTATCAGAGTTATGCACAACCTTGCTCCCTGACATTTTGGTTGGCTCAGCCTCCCACACCAGCCATTTTGTGGTTGTGCCCACCACCTTCTGTCAGAAACCTAGTTACCCATAGGCTTAAAAAGGTTGGGGATCTCTAGCTTAAATCAGCAAGGCATAACTGACAAAAGGAGCTAAAGAGACATGCAGAGATTGTGGCCTAGCAGAAGGAGGGGTGGAACTTCTTTTCAAAAGAGTATTCTTTACTTATTGGCCACATGTGAACATAGCTTGCTGGTTCCAGGTAATAACCAAGTCACTAGGGGTGTGCATTAGGGTTTACCTGAACCGAAAATATACCCCCCAAACACATCGGTGTTGTCATGATCCTAGGCCTACAGTAGTGCTACCCTATAGACTCTAGGGAGGCCTAGTGCTTCCAGGGAAGCCTCTACTAGAGTAGCTACCAGGTCTACATTTCCCAAGCCACCTTTGGACCCTGTGATTGGTTAACAGGAAATTTGGAGGGGAAACTCGCACCAGTAAAGGGTGGCCCCTGGGAATAAGAGATAACAGAAGGGGTGAGTCCACAGGATCAGCTCCTTTGTGGGCTCTGTTGGGCAGTCCGGTTTAAACTGGGCTGCCTAGCAGACCTCAGCTGAGCCTGCAGGGAGAGCCCCCCCCCCAAAGGATCAGCTGCTTTGCAAGATCCTTGGGCAGTCCGGTTTAGAGGGACTGCCCAAAAGAGCCCCAGCTGAGCCACTTCTCAGCTGTTTTTCACAACTTTGCTGCTGCTTTTTTTCCCTCTGTATTTTTTGGTTCAGATCTATTGGACCTGAACAAATTTGAGACTTCTGAAAAATCCCAGATCTGAATACTTTACTGGTATTGGGATCTGGGTTTTTTTGGGAATTCCAATTTTTCCCCAGGTCCAATAGACAGAGCTTAAAAATACTGGGAAAAAAAAACACACCCCTATAGGTCACTATCCAATTCTGAACACTTTTCCTAACCATCCCAAAGCGTTACACATTGCAGTTCTCTAACTTGAATGTTATGCATCATTTCTCAGAGGGCTGTAACTAGTTCACCAACCCAAGCTGATAAAAGGCACTGAGCCACAAACACCACTTGGGTATCTATCTGCAAGCACTTTGAAGATAAGCATTTCTAAGACCTTTGTTTTAACTAATGCATATTATACTCTTAAGTAATGTCTACCACCCTGCACTCAACGCCCAACCCCGGTCAACATACCCTTTATAACCTTGGCACAGTTTGAAGTATTTTGAGGAGTTGGGCAGCCCAAGCCTATAAACAAAGCAAAATGTCTAAAAACATGTTTTTCTCCAGTGTATGGCAAATGGTATCCCACGTTCGCCCTCAATCCTACACCCACTTAATAATAGTGAAACTATACAATGCAAACACAGCAATGCCTATGGAAACTCCAGCAATTGTGCAGCATATCTACCGGTCACAGTGTTGTAACTAGTTACCTTTCCCAGTAACAGTACCGCACTGTCAACAGTAGAAAGTTGGAGTCAATTCTTACAGTCGCTGTCTAGGAAAAACAGTTAAAGAGAAGCAATGCAGTGACTGCCCTGATTCTTAAATTTAGGATGTGAATGCCAGCGTCGAAGTACAGATGAGAAAAACTGCTCTATTTATCACATTTGGTGTTTAGTTTTTTAGCTAATCTCAGTTAATTCTCAATTTTCAAAGCGATGGGGCATAGTGGTCATGGGAGATTTCAATTACCTGGAGAAGGGAGTTTCTTAAAAGCAAGATATTGAAGGCACAAGAACAAACAATTTCAGTGTGAACGGGGAAAAATGGGAGGAACCTAAAGAAGCCAGGGTAGCTCCATTAACTTTCTAAAGATCTGAGAATTAAAAATTCTGTTTAGTAAACGGAAGGAGAGCCATATAATCATCAAGGATGAATATAAACAAATAGCCAGTGCTTGTAGGAAGACTGTTAGAAAAGCTAAAGCTCAGTATGAGCTTAGGTTAGCAAGAGATACTAAACACAACAAAAAGGGGTACTCTGGTTATGTTTGGAGCAAGAAAAAGAAGGGGTAGGCCCATTGTATTTATTTATATTATTACATTCAGGGGTCATTTTGTAAAAAAAGAGCTAGGGGGACTCATTAGCATAACTCATTAGCATATGCCACACCCCCTGAGATCACCGGAAGTGTGTCATAAGGCCACACACCCCGCCCCCAACGGCGGTGGACCTGCAAGGCCGGCAGGAGTACAAGGAAGCCCCGCGAAGGCCCTCCCTGGCCCAGGCAGGCAGGGGTGGGGAGAGGCAGGGAGGAAGCAACTTACCCTCCCTCTTCTGCCTCCTCCTGGCTGAATGAGGGCCGGAAGCGGGGCGGCCGGAACCAGGGGGCGGGGCTTCGTCATGTGCCCCGCCCCCGTACCTCACCCGGGGGAACTGCGATCCCCCCCAAATGACCTCTGATTACATTTATACCTCGCCCTCCCCGCGAACGGGCTCAGGGCGGCTGTGGGGAGAGGAAAGTGAAATTCCCCAATGCTGTTTAATATCATTATGTGCCTCCTTGCCCAGATTGCGCGGAGTCATGGACTGGGTTGTCACCAATATGTGGATGACACCCAGCTCTATCTGTTGTTGGACGGCCAGTCAGACTCTAGTCCGTGAGATCTGGACCTGGCGTTGAAAGCTGTGGCTGGTTGGCTTAGGCTGAGTCGACGGAAATTGAATCCGATGAAGACAGAGGTCCTGTGCCTGTGTCGGAGCGGGTCAAGGTTAGGGATCTCCCGATCTTTGGTGGGGGACCTTTGGTGCCAATGCCGGTGGTTAGGAGCTTGGAGTGCTCCTGGATACCTCCTTAATGATGGAGGCCCAGGTAGCAGCCACTGCAGAATCTGCCTCTTACCATCTGCAGCTGATTAAGCAGCCAGTTCCCTTCCTTGAACGCAATGACCTGGTAACAGTGATCCACACAATGCTCACCTCGAGAGTGGATTACTGCAATGCTCTCTACATGGGGCTGTCCTTGTCCCAAATCCGGAAGCTGCAGCTATTGCAGAATGCAGCAGCGAGGCTATTGCTGTGTCTCCCCATGCGGGAGCACATCCAGCCTTCTCTAAAAGCACTGCACTGGCTGCCTATAGCATACCGGATTCAGTTCAAGGTGCTGGTTCTTACCTTTAAAGCCCTATATGGTCAGGGACCTAAGGGACCGCGTTCCCCCACATGTCCCCCAGAGAGCACTAAGATCAGGTTTCCAAAATGGTTTGGCCCTTCCAAGCCCTAAAGAAGCCAGGCTATTGGTGACGAGGGCCAGGGCCTTCTCTGTGGTGGCCCCATCCTGGTGGAATGAGCTCCCGGAGGACATCAGGTCCCTGTGGAACCTTTTACAGTTCTGCAGGACCTGTAAAACAGAGCTCTTCCACCAGGCTTTCAATAAGGGCGCTGCCCTAATGTTACGGCCCTGGCCCCAACATTAACATTAGCACCGATCTAACTTAATTTAATACCTAACAGCCTGGCGGGAGCCCAGACTGTGGTGGTGGCTGACCATCTGGATGCTGAGAGCACACCGCCACCATTTTTTAGCACTTGGACATCTATGTTACTGGCACTTATGATTTTAGATGATGTGGTTTTACTTATTTAAATACTGTGTTTTAACTCCTTTGTTGTATGTGTATGTATATGTGTAAGCTCTGAGCTTACCCAGGCAGGGAGGGCGGAATACAATAATTTCAACAGGTGATAGAAGGCAGAACTGCTCAATTCCTACTTTGCTCCAGTCTTCTCTTGCAAGGGAAACAGTGCTCAACCTAGAAAAAAGAGAATATGAGATGAGGGAAT